GGGAGAGGCCGGGGAGCGGGAGCCGGGCTCCCCACCGCCCCCCGTGCACCCCAATGTCTGCCGACCGCCATGACACGTGACGGTGCTGGGCTGGGGTGACATGAGCATGACAGGGTTCTGGCGTTGCTGGTGGCATGGCCACGACTGCTGGGTTGCAAAGGATGAGCGCAGGGGAGTGGCACCGGGGACCGCAGAGGCAGCCGGGTACAGCAAGAGCCCCAGACCTCCCACTGGGCTGCCTTCACCCTTCCTCCCAATGCATTGGGGGTTTTTTAATGTTAAACCACCAGAAGAATCTAAATGCATCCCCAGAAACGCTCAGGCTTTCCTCTCCTTTGGCTGCTGCCTCCCCGCACGCTTGTGCGAGTCGCTCCCATCAGACCCCAAACACCTCACGGGGCTCCCCAGGGTGCCCCATCCCTCCCCACCTCCCCCTCAGCAGCCGACGAGCTGATCGGCCGGGACTGCACGTGGAGGATCACTGCCCTAAAGCGCCAACCCACAGGAGAGCGGTGCAGGGGATCAGAGAACCATTAAGGTTGAAAAAGACCTCGAAGATCATCACGTCCAACCATCACCCCAACCCCACCACGCCTGCTAAACCACGTCCCAAAGTGCCACATCCACAAGTTTTCTGAACCCCTCCAGGGATGGGGACTCCACCACTGCCCTAGGCAGCCTGGGCCAACGCCCGACCACTCTTTCAGGAAAGAAATTCTTCCTCATCTCCAGTCTAAACCTCCCCTGACGCAACTTGAGGCCATTTCTCCTCATCCTATCGCTGGTTACCTGGGAGAAGAAACCAACACCCGCCTCGCTACACCTTCCTTCTAGGTAGCTGTAGAGAGCGATAAGGTCCCCCTCAACCTCCTCTTCTCCAGACTAAAATGGAGGGGGAATGGGGAGGGACGCAGCGCAGTGCAGAGCCACCATTTCACAGCCTGCCGTGGCAATGGTAACGTTCAACCTCCCCCCAGCAGCAAGACATCCCCACCTCAGGTTATTAGTTTAGAAAAAAAACGCCCAATGCAATCCCTTCCCAAACCCAAAGGCTTTTCCGTCCCCGAGCGGTACCTGGCTGTGAGGTGTCGGTCTGGCCCCGCTTCGCCCGCACGCAGTATTCCCACCGGACACCGGCGTCCTGGACATACTGCTCCAGGTCCTGGAAGAGGGCGGAGAAGGAGAGGCGGCTGGCCCGCTCGATGGTGTAGTAGAGCAGGGATGCCCG